AAGAGGCAAAAAACAAACCAAGGCCAGATATCTGTGCTCCAATGTTCATTGCGGCACAGTTCACAATTGCAAGGAGTTGGAAGCAACCCAAATTTCCATCAACTGACGATTGGATTAAAAAACTGTGGTATATACATACAATGGAGTACTATGCATTGCTAAAAAGCAGTGATCAACGTATGAAGCACATCACTGCATGGGAAGAGCTGGAGGAAATCATGCTAAGCGAAGTAAGCCAGGCACAAAAGGACAAGTACAACATGAGACTGCTGAGTAAGCGTTTAAAAAAAAATGCAAAAGGGGCATAGGGAAAAAGCTACTGTATACAAACATTCTTGGGATGGGGACCAGGTAGTATGGCAGGGATGCACATGGTAGACAACTGGGGAGGAGGTGGGGAAAGGGGAAAAAATGATGAAAATAAGGAAGAAATGGGTAGCAGGGGCATGGGGCGCTAACCCACCCAAGGGGAGGGTATTGTTTATATCTCCACAGGAAAAGAGGGACCAGACTTCAACCCAGTACTCCAAGGTGTGAATGCAACATGCCGGCTTGGAGTAGGAAACCAGTGGAGAGGTCTGGGGGGCTGACCCCAGTCCCAAATACTAAGTGGATGCCTGCCCCTCCCCGAGAAGTTATTTCAAAGGATGGCACTGAATCCACAGCTCCGGGAGGATATATCTGACCAGAGCACACCGGAGCAGATGACGGGGGAGGAGGAGAGACTGGAGCACATCCTAGCCCACCTGGCCTTGAGGACAATGACCTGAATTAGAGCAGCCAGTCCACAGAGAGGACCACATGGTCAGCCCCACTATGAGATATGATGCCCCTCACTGACCCATGGCCCTGTGGGGGACAACACTAGAGACACAGTGTGGGAATTGCACCTGATCTGATCCTGTCTGTGAGTTCTGTGTAGCTATTGAAACAAACTATTGAACACAGAAGAAAAATAGAATGTTAACTTCCTAGTCTCTTTTAAGTCTGTGAACTCTACGGAAACCTGGCCCCCCACCGTGGGGGCTCTGTGTGCATTTGAAATATCACAGGCATAGCCTCTACCGTCGCAGCAAAAGTTACAAATTGAGAACTAAGTTCAGCAATGCAAAATTATGACATCCCAAACTAAAGTTCAGTAACAAAATGATGAAATTGTCAATGTCTACCTCTCCACAAAATCCATCAAGTCATTTAGCGCCGAGAAAGTGTTTGGTTACTCTAGAAGCAAGTCAGATTTTAAAATCAACCATGGAAGCGCTTACAGAGAGAACACTCTGCTGATCTTTTCTAGGGGAACAACACATATACAAACCAGCTATCATCCTTTATTCTTCTGCTTGGACAAAGAAGCTGGGATAGTGGTCCACATTCCCAGAGCCTGTAAATGGTGCAGGAACAGGAAGTGGGGATATTCTCATCTACAGTTTTGGGGTTACATTGTTTTCACAGAGATAACAGTTACTATAAGCTATAAAAATATATATACACTATAATTAATATGGATTTATTCCAGGCATGCAACGGTAATTCCATATTAGAGACTAAATTGAATGCACCACATGAACAGAGCAAAGGAAAAGAAGCACCTGATCATCTCAATCAATGAAGAACAGGTGCTTGATAAAATATAGCACCTTTCCTGATGTAAGCACGTGACAAGCTGGCAATCAGAATTTTTCTTCTAGATATATATGCTGAAGAATGGAAAGCAGGTATTAAGGTGCTTTTAAATGAATGTGCACAAGAGTGAAATGATGCAGACAATGTAAAAAGCAATCAATAGATGTTTGTCTAAACAAATTGTGGTGTACAACGGAATATATTGAACCATGAAAACCAATAAAAAGCTGAAAGACTTGATGACATGCTCTAACATGAAGGAATTTTGAAAATACCATGAAAAATGAAAGAAGCCAGACACTGAATACTGCACATGATATAATAGCATATTAAACATCCAGAGTAGGTAAATCCATGAGTTCAGAAATCACTAATGGTTTCCAGAGACTGGAGAAAGAGTGAATAAGGAGGGGCAGCTTTAATGGGTAAGCAATTTCTCTTTGGAGATGAAAGAGTCCAGAACTTGATAGAGGTGATTGTTTCAGGATATTATGAATGCACAAAATGCTATTGAGTGTTAAACTTTTAAATGGCTAATTTTATGTTGCTTGTATTTTGCCTCAATGCAAATACTATTATTTAAACGCTATTTTTTATTTATTTAAGTAACATTTTGCATGGTGATGCAGTCTCATTGTAGAGTTCACCAAAGTATTTTGCAAAGTTTCCAGCATATACATTTAATAAGAAATAATCAGGGAATTTCATATAAATATGATAGCATTTCTAGTAATATTCAAAAGTACATACGATGACGGAATCCCTCTCTCCCTTCTTGTATTGTATACCCAATCAAGCAGTAATTTTCTCATTATAGTAAGTGATTTTTTGCTTTCAGAATACTTCTTTATTGTCTCAGGACTCATATATCTAGAAAAGAAAAAAGAAAGAAATCTTAAGCATGCTTTATGATGTGTTTAACTATTGTCAGAAAGCTAAAAGATGTTTTTTTTCAGTGATGCATGAGTGTTGGATGCTTCCTGGCACAGGTCCAAGATGTGCAGCTTTAACGATATACCCATACAGTTAATTTATAGGCCACCATCCATATTTGTCATCCATATTTGGAGGTGATGTTGCTGAATGAAATAAAATAGTCATAGTAGGACAAATATTGTTATGAGCCCACTACTATAAAAGGGCAATAAAAGTTTTTCATATGAACAAAAATGTTCTTTGATGGTTAGCAGACACGAGAAAAAAAGTTAGGATAAATCGCTAACCAGAGGATTGACACAGTTTTATTTGAGAGGAGAAGTTTTTGTTTTGTTTTTTAATGAAAATAAAATAGATTTTCTGGTTAAGGTAGCCAGCTAGGCAGCTACACTACAGAATCCTTCTAAATATTCAAGAAGCTCAAAGAACCCCAAACAAGATAGGCTCTAAATAAATAATCACCACAGCATATCATAGTCAAACTCTGCAATATAAGTGACAAGGACAGTTGCCGAGAGTAGCTTGGGGAAAAAATCAGTTACCTGCAAAGAGGAACCAATAAGTTTAAGTTCAGATTTTTTTAAAAGCAGAAACCATTCAAGCAATGGGCATTCCATCAATTCCTGGAGCCTTGTTATTGGCTAATGCCTTCAGCGAAGCTTGAACTTCTTCCTTCAGTTCCATTGATTGTGGAATGGTGGAATGTTGACTAGTTCTTTTTTTTTTTTTTAACATTTTATTGGTGGCTCATACAACTCTTATCACAATCCATACATCCATCCATTGTATCAAGCACCTTTGTACATTTGTTACTATCATCATTCTCAAAACATTTGCTTTCTACTTGAGCCCTTGGTATCTGCTCCTCATTTTCACCTCCCTCCCTCATGAACCCTTGATAATTTATAAATTATTATTTTTTCACATTCTACACTCTCCTCCCCTCACCCACTCCTCTGCTGTCCATCCCCCTGTGAGGAGGTTATATGTAAATCCTTGTAATAGGTTCCCCTTTTTCACCCCACCCTCCAGGTTTTGCCACTCTCACCACTGGTCCTGAGGGGTTCATCTGTTCCAGATTCCCTGTGTGTCCAATTCCTATCTGTACCAATGTACATCCTCTGGTCTAGCTGGATTTGTAAGGTAGAATTGGGATCATGATAGTAGCAGGGAGGAGGCATTAAAGAACTAGAGGAACGTTGTATGTTTCACCGTTGCTACCCTGCACCCTGACTGCACACTGGACTGCACTCAGTTGACTAGTTCTTTTTGGTACAGTGACTCTATGCATTCTTTCCATATTATTTGAATGCTTCCTGCATCAATCAATATTTTGCCTATAGAATCTTTCAATTTTGCAAATTAAAGCTTGGATTTCTTATTGAATTCTTTCAGTTAAAGATATGCTGAGTGTGTTCCTTATTTTGGTTTCTCACCCCAAGTCTTTGCCCATTCCAATATAATATTTGACTTTGTGCTCCTAAGCAGCTCTTTGAAATTGTTTATTCATCTTTTCTTCCATCTGCTTTAGGTATTCTGTGATTAAGAGAAAATTCAGAGTCTCTTTTGACATCTACTTTCATGTTTGCTTTCTTTATGATGTCTTTTCTGCCCTCCCAGTGTTGATCAGGTCTTCTATCATTAGTGTCCAACGCATCAGATTAGTTCTGGAGATGATCTCAAAATTCAAGTGGGATGTACTATAGGTTGTATTGTGGCTCCTGTGAACTTGTTCTAATTTTCTTCAGTTTTAACCTGAGCTTACATATCAGCAATTGATAGTCTGTTCTGCAGTCTATTTACTAGCCCCTGGTCTGGTTTCAGCTGCTGTTATTGAATTTCTTTATCGTGTCCTCCCACAGATGCAGCCACTTTGATTTCTCAGTATTCCATCTGGGGAAGTCAATGTGTACAGTCAGTTTTTTGTTCTTGAAAAAGGTATTTGCTATGAACAAGTTGTTTGTCTTGAAAAAGTCTATAAGGGGATCTCTGTCTTTGTGTATGTTACCAAGTCCATATTTTCCAACTATTGTTTCTTCTTCTTTGTTCCCAACTGCCAATAATCATCAGTGCACCTTGTATGTTCAATCAATTTCTGACTGAAGTCGTTGGTAGAATGCTTCAATTTATTTAGCACTAGCTTTTGTGGTTTGTGCATTAATTTGAATGAAAGTTGTATTGACTGAATTTCCTTAAAGATGGATAGATATAATCCTGTCATGGACAGTGTTGTACTTCGAGATTGATTTTGCAATGGCCTTATGCATTGAGTCGAAATCCAAAGGTTCAGCAGTTCAAAGCAGCCAGCAGTTCCTCAGGAGAGAGGAGGTTTTCTATTCCCATAAATAATTACAGTCTTGGAAACTCACAGGGAAACTTATCTTAGCCTATGGGGTTGCTATAGGTTAAGTCAGTATTTACTTAATAGCAGGGAATTTGGCTTTGATAAGGGATAAAAAATTAAAAGGTAACTTCAAGGAAAATGGAAAGACCTCATCAAAATAAAAAAGAAGACTCACATAAAAATCTAGTAAAGGGTATAACATTAGCAATGAAAGACAAAGAAGACAAGAAAACCTACAAATGAAAGGAACTTTGGAACAACACTGAAATTTTTGAACAAAGAAATGGATAACGCTGATAAAAACCCACCTAGAAAAAATGACAGCAAAAAATTAATTAAAACTCAATCAAAATCTATTAAAACACAGATCCAATCAACATAATCAACTTAATCTCCCAGACATACATACAACCCTACACCCAAAACTATATAATAGACATTCTTTTCCAGTGGACAAGGAACGGTTTCTGTAATGGACCATATTTCAGACCACAAAGCAAATCTTAATAAATTTAAAAGCACTGCAATATTACAAACCACTTTTTTGGACCACAGTACTCAATAATAAATCAACAATAATCAGGTCAAGGGAAAGAAATCAAATACATGGAAACAGAAAAACACCTTGTTCAAATACTGTTGGATTATCTAAGGAAAAAGGAATGACATTTAAAAATTCCTTAAAATAAACAAGGAAAAATAACAAACAAACAATATACCAAAACCTTTTGGACAGAGCGACGGCAGTACTCAGAGGGTAATTTATACCAAAAAGCACACATCAAAAGAGAAGAGAGAACCCAAATAAATGCCTTAACCCAATGTCTTCAACAATTAGAGCAAAGCAATAAATTAAACTTTCAGCCTCCAGAAGAAAGGAAATAATAAAGATAACAGTAGAAATAAATGAATCAGAAAACTGAAAAACAACAGCACAAAAAGTTGATTCTTTGAAGGGATTAGTAAAATTATATAACTACTGGCAAATTTAACATAGGAACAGAAAGATGTAAATATTACAAATAGGAAACTAAATAAATGACATCACAATTGAATTAATTGAAATAAAAAGATAACACAATACTACAAAGGACTATGCTCCAAGAACCTTAAAAACCTAGAAGAAAGGAACCAATTTGTAGAAATACATCACCTACCTAAATTAACCCAGACTGATTTAGAAAACTCAAACAGACCCATGATAAAAGAAGCCATAGATCAGGATATTTAAAAATTCCCAACAAGGACAACAGTAAATATGTCAGCTTACCAGGCAATCCTACCAATCATTCAGAGTAGAGTGACATCTATTTTACACACACTACTCTAGAATATAGAAAAGGGCAGCAAACTTCTGAACTTATTTTATGAAGCGAGCATCACTCTCAAAGACATTACAAGAATGGAAAATTACAGACTAATGTCCCTTATGAAGACAGAAGAAAAGATTCTCATCAAAATTCTAGCCGACGGAATTGAATAAAGTATAAATAATAATAATAATAATACACCATGATCAATTAGAATTTATACCCCACTTGTAGGGACTGTATGGAAGGATGGTTCAATGGTAGAAAAAGAATTGATATACTGCATCGCATATATGAAACAAAGCTTAAGAACGACACGATCTTATGAATTGAGGAAGAAAAGGCGTTTGGCCAAATGCAATACCCAATCCTGATAAAAACACTCATCGAAATCAGAGTAGAAGGGAAAGTTCTCAATATAATAAAAGCTATTAGGCAAAACTAACCGTCAACATCTCTTCATGGGGAGAAGCTGAAAGCATTTCCCCTGCGAATGGAAACTAGAAAAAGAGATGCCCTTGATCACCACACTCATTCAGATTCAACATTGTGCTGGAAGTCCTACCAGCATCATTAGACAACAAAAATAAATTGAAGGCAACTAAACTGTTAGAGAATGAGGAAAGTTCTATGTTCAGATGATATGATTCTATACATAGAATCCAAAGATCCAGCAAGAAAACTGCTGGAAATAATTAAAGGATTTGGCAGTGTGATGGGGCACAAGAGCAACATACAAAAATGTATTGGAGTCTTTTATACTAAGAAAGAGTCTGCTGAAAAGGAAATTAAAGAAATAATACTCTTTACACTAGCCACACAAAAGATGAAATATTCAGGAATAAACCTAACCAGAGGAACAAAAGTTTTACACATAGAAAACACTAACTATATGAAAGCACAAGAAACCTACATAAATGCAAGACTATGCCCTGATCGCTTATAGGAAAGCTTAACAGTGTCAAAATGTCCATTCTATCCAAAGTAACCTATAAATGTAGCATAACTCCAATTCAGATCCTAAAATCCTTTTTAAAAAAATGAAAAAAACTAATCACCAACTTTATGTGGAGAGGAAAGAGACCAAGGATAAACAAAGCAGTACTTAAGAAGAAGAAAGGAGGAAGCGTCTCATTTCCTGTCCTCAGAGACTACGGTGGCCCAAACAAGCTGATAATGTGACAGCTCTAAGTGCATAGACCAAGGAAACACACCAGAGAACCCAGAAGTAAACACCACTGATCTTTAACAAAGGGCCCAAAACACAAACAAAAACAAACATTAAATGGGCACTAGATATTTTCTTAACTGGACTTCAATTCAAATGAAACAAGACCCATACCTCACCCCCTAAAGCAAATAAACTCAAGGTAGATTAAAGACCTAAATGCAAATCATACAAGTATAAAAATCAGTTATGAAAAAATAGGGATGAACTTAAGGGCTCTAACACAGGACATACACACACTCTCAAACAAAATGGAAAATAAACACTCTCAGTAAAAGACAAAATATATGACTGGGCCTTCTGAAAACAAGACACATATGTGCATCAAAATAATACCAAGAGAGCCCACAGATTGAGAAAAATTCTTTAGCAACAACACAGTGAACTAATATCTAAAATATATAGATTATTGCAAGACTTCGATAAGAAAAAAAGCAAATAATCTAATTAAAAATTGGGCAGAGGACATAGATACCAATTCACCAAAGAAGACTTTCAGGCAGCCAACAAACATACGAAGAACTACTCAGACACTGGCCGTTTGAGAGATGCAAATCAAAACAGTGATGAGGCACCACCTTTCACTGGTACTGATAACAAGATTAAAAAAGAAAGAAAAAAAATAGCAAATGCTGAAAACACTTCAGAGAGAGTGGAATCCTTAGGCATTACTGATGGGACTATTGAGATAGTTAAAGATTATTGTGCCAACCTGGCCGATAAACACATGTGGGGTTAATTGAAGGGTGGAGAGATTAATGGCTCAGTGAGCCTCACCTTTCTAGTTCTTGGGTCTCTTGCTTTGTGATGGTCAGACCAGGGTGCAGCTGCCTTAGCCAGTTCCCTGCTTCAGATGGCAAGGCTCGCTTCCTGTAAGACCTGCTTGAGGAGAAGCCATATGGACCTACCCCAATGCAGCCCTGGGTGCGGGAGCAGCTATGTGGAGAGCCCTGCCAGTGCTGAGATGCTTACATGTTCACTGATTTGGCTTTCCTCCTGCAGTCAGCATCATTAAGTGTATTTTATGAGATGGAGGAGGACCTTGTGGATTGGTGTCGGAAATATGGACTAATGTTTGACTTGTGGGCTTGGGCAACACTGGGTGGGGATGTTTTCTTGATGTGAACTTAACCTTTATGTAAAACTCTCTCTTACATATGAGTTTCTGTGGATTTGTTTCTCTAATGTACTCAGACTAACACAACTATAAAAATGTATATCCACTGTGGAAAGTAGTAAGGAACTTCCTCAAACAACTGTAATAGAAACATATGACCCAGTAATTCCTTTGCTTCCTATATACGCTAAAGAAGTAAGAGAGAGCCTTAGCGTGAACAGGCATATGCACATCCATGTTCATCATAGAACCGGTTACAAGAGGAGAATGATGGAAACAGCTATTGGTGGGAGAATGTATAAATAAATTTTGGTACATCCACACAATGGGGTGCTATGCATTGTTAAAGAATAATGATGACCTTGTGAATCACAGTGGGGCATAGATGCTCCTGGAGAACATTATGCTGAGTGAAATTAGTCAATCACAAAAGAATTGTAATGAAATGTGCAGAGACCCCACGTTAGAAGGTTAAAAAGGAAGAGCACTATCAGCCTATCTTAAGATGAAGGAACTAATGAAAAATTCCAAGACTCCAGTTGCAATCCTGAAAGATTCCATGGGTAAGCTATTGAATCATGTAGGAAGCATTAAATGACAACAGGAGTAATATAGAGTCACTGTACCAAAAATAATTGGTTGACATTCAACTATTTCAAAAGCTAGCATATAAACAAGGACTGATGATATTGAAGGAAGAAGGCCAAGATGAACAGAAGGTATTGTGGAAAAACAAGATTCCAGGAATTGGTGGAATACCAAGTGAAATGTTCAACACTTCAAGGTGAGTGTCAGAGCTGTACGCTTTCAGCATACTTACTCAATCTCTACGCTGAGCAGATAATACAGCAAAGTAGCCTATTGAAAGAGTGTGGCGTCCAGATTTAAAGAATGTTTATTAACAATAAGTGATCTCTAGAAGACACAATCTTGCTTGTTGAAAAGGAAGAAAACTTGAGGCATTTGCTGATGAATATCAACGACTGCTGCCTTCAGTATTGATTATAAACTCAATGTAAAGAACACCAACATCTTCACAATTGAACTAATAGACCTTGCATTATGAAAACAGAGAAAAGATTAAAGTTGTCCAGAATTTCATTTTGCTTGGATCCAAAATCAATGCTTATTGAAGCAGCCGGCAAGAAATCAAATGATATACTTCACTGGGAAATCAGGTGCACACGCCTTCTTTAAAGTACTGAAAAGCAATATAGTCACTTTGAAGCCTAAGGTGCACCTGACCAGAGAAATGATATTTTTAAATGCATCATATGAATGTGAAAATTGAGCAACGAGTAATTAAGACTGAAGAATTGATGCATTTAAAGTATATTGCTGGCAAAGAAGATCAAAGCAAGAATGGTTGCCAGAAGAACAAGCAAATCTATCTTAGAGGAAGCCCAGCCTGCAAGCTCTGTAGAAGCAAGGCTGGTAAGACTTGGACTCTGGAGCTCTTATCAGGAGAGACCAATTCCTGGAAAAGGGCATTGTGCGAGGTTTACTAGCAGCTCAGCAAACAGGAGAAAGACCATCACGGAGAAAGCTTGACACAGAGACCGCAACAAATGGGCTCAAATATAGTACCAACTGGGAGGATGGCACAGGATAAACGGTGTTCTCTTCTGCTGTAGTAGGGTTGCTATGAGTGTGTACTGACTGGATGGCACCGAACAATGACATCATTGGCACCAAGACTGCCCTCTAGAAATAACAGTAGGTCCTGCCTGTGGGTGGGCACTTCTTTCCTTTGATCCATCAAATATCCATCATTTATCCATTGGGGATAATCTAGACTGAAGAGTAGTTCTCTACATTTACTTTTGGGGCCCACAAAGGGTAAGGAAAGAGCATTTTTGTACGAAGGAGAAACTTGCTCGATTGCAGAGCTGTGAGTGAGGAGAGCAAGTTTAGGAAATGCAATGTAGGTGATTAACCTGAATGTGGGATATAGAGCAGGCAGTGACTTGGGCACATTATACTGAAGCATCTCGAGCTACCAGACAAAAGCAAGAAAACTCACTTGTATTATTTCATAAGGCAATGTGTTATGTCACATTATTATTTATTATTTCATAAAGGCACTGGCATAGCCATTTTCTTGCCAATATACTTACTCTCCCTTCTTCTCGCCAAAGCTTCCCGCTGCCCCTACCAACAGCTGGACTGCATTTTGAGTCAGGGTCTCATTCTTGTATTGCCTCTGGTAGCTTGCCTTAAAGGGAACAACAGACCATGGCATTATATGGCATAGACAAAGATGGCCATTTACTACTCGCTTTAGAGAAAATAACAAGTCAAAAAAGGCAACATCCCCAAGTAATCTAGGATTTTTATTTAAAATATCTTCCTATGGAATCCAACCCAGGATACCAGGTCTGATCAGAATGTTCCAAAAGTGGTTCTGCGAGAAATGAGGATTCTGCCCGGTGTTCATTGGATTTCCAGAAAACAAATGGAGTTCTGTGGTCAAAAGAGTCTGGTCCCTATGAAACCTATATCTCTATCTAAAAGCCTATAATGCGCAGTAACATATTAAAACCCTTGAGATATCCCAGAGGGAAGGATCGTTTTTAAAAGACATATTTAATTCTACTTACCTAAATATTTGGACAATAGAATCCTACTTCCTTCTGTCTGTTATAAATGATAAAGGGACTTTTACTATTCTGCAGAATACTGAAGACAGTTATTGCTTCAATTAATAAACATCGGTTAAAAACCCACTTTGCTTCAGGTACTCCACTTAATGCTGGGGGTGGGGTGAGTAAAGTAATACCCTTCGCCTTAAATATGATTAAAATACTAATAAATGAAGAATAATTTATTTTTGCGTATCCTTAAAGAGAAAAATTGTACTTAGAGAGGACAGGTGGAAGCTCAAAGTAATAGGGGACTCATGAAGGTTTAACAACACAAAGGAGAAAGCATTCTGATAGTAGAAAAAAAATTTAACCTACACATGATCATTCCATTAAAAAATGTGAGATTTTAAAGAATAGTTGCTTCCTAAGATTAATTGTTATTTATTTCACTCTCCTCTATATTACTGACCTAACCGATAGATATGTGTCTTATTTACATTAATTAATGCTCACAACAATTTAAGGAGTCCTAGTGGTGCTTCGTTGAGGATTTCATCTTAATGTCAAAGATTTCATCTTGCTTGGATCCACCATCAATACTCATAGAAGCAGCAGTCAGAAGATTAAAAAAAATCAATTGGGTAAATCTGATGCACAAGACCTCCTTAAAGTGTTGAAAAGCAAGCCTTTTCCTTTGAAGACTGAGATGCACCTGACCCAAGTCATGGTATTTTCGATTACTTCACATGCATGTGAAAATTGGATATGGAATAAGGAAGACCAAGGAAAATAACAGTGCATTTGAACTCTGGTGTTGGTGAAGAATACTGAAAGTATCATGGACCCTCATGGAAGAAGTACATCCAGAGTGCTCCTTAGAAGCAAGGATGGTGAGCCTTCATCTCATGTACTGTAGACATGCTATCAGGAGAGACCAGTCCCTGGAGAAGGTCATCATGCTTGGTTAAGTAGAAGGGCATCAGAAAAATGGAAGGTCCTGGGCAAGATGGATTGACACACAGCCTGCAACAATGGGCTCAAACAGAACAATTCCGTATACTCTTCATTTTAGACTATCCCAATGGATTATGTCTCTATTTGCAATGGCGAAAGCCCACCATACACGTGTATAAAGGTTGCTGGTTGGGTCATGGCAGTTAGCTAGGGTCCTTACCTGAGCAGAAGTGCTAGTCAGGTTTGTTAGCAACTTCCCAGTGAGTCTCATACGCTACTAAGCGAAAGTGTTTCTCTCATTTTTACCCAAGCTCTGATATGTAAGCATACTACTCTTGACATAGCATAATTAGTGCGCTTGGCGCTCTATCTTTCCATGAAACCAACTTAGCCCTAACGATGGGAAATGTTGTGGAACTGCTTGCCTAACATCTGGCTGAATGTCAAGTCCAATTATAATTCCTGTTGCTGTGACCTTTGAAGTTTCCAATTTCTTAGTATAAAATGCTTTTTACTTGAACTACTTTGAGTTGATTTCTTCTCTCTCTCTCTCTCTTTCTCGCTGTCTCTCTCTCTCCTTTTTAACAACCAAGCAGACTCCCAAGACTTCCCTCATTTTTTTGTGAACCCAGAACTAAGTCATGCTGGTGGGCCTAATCAGGATGTCTTCCGCAAGTGACTGAGCTTTCAGCCTATTGGAAGGCAAAAGGTAATTTTAAAAGAGTAACATAAAATATTAACTATTTGTGTAGACAAAAGACGCCGGTTGGCCAGTTCCATTGCTTCAGTGTTAAGAGTCTCATCGATTTCCTTGTTACAGTCCGGACACTTCACCACTGAACGGGCTGCTGTTTCTTCTTGGCTTGCCTAAGAAAACACACAAATGACATTATGAGATCATATTAACAGATCACTAGCACAAAGCTCAAGCAGTTGGCATACCAGTTGGTTTTGAAAAAAATGATTTAAAAAAAAATATGGTAAATATTTTTCAAACGATGAGTTTCTCCATTATTTGTGCAGCCACCCCCCAAGGGTAAAATTTAGTTAATTTCTAAGGGAGAAGATTATATCATATCTTTGTGTTTATATGGAGCTATTAGTTGATAAGAACTACTTATATGATCATGCTTTAAGTAATTGGTTCTCATCATGTGCCTACACACACCAGCCTTCCTATAGCTCCACCCGCTGCCACCTGGAGCATTAGCATCGTGTGCATTGTTAGAAATGCACTCTTTCAGGTCCTGGTCCTGCTACCACTGCTGCTGTTGCTAGGGGCAGTCACTTCCAACTCATGGTGACTCCGTGTGTGTGCAGTGTACAACGACTTCACGGCGCTTTCAAAACTGGGACCTTTCAAAAGCGGGTGGTCGGGCCTGTCTACTGAGGCTTCTCCAAATGGGTTCCAACCCCCTAACTTTCATTTGCTAGCAGAGAACCTAACCATCTGCCCCACGAAGGGATACATTAGACCAGGGCTCAGCAAACTGTTGAGATGGAAGAGCCAATCCTGTCCATCGCCACAATTTACAAATTATTTGAGAGCCATAAATAGAGTTTTACAAACAAATGAAATCACCATGATCCGAATAATAACCTCATTTTAAAAATTAACATCAGCGCGACATGTATATACCAAAAGAGCTGGAGAGCTGCGGTTTGCCAACCCCTGCCTTAGGCCTACTGAGTCAGAAACCCAGTGATGGGCACTGAAGATAAATCCATTGGATGGTTCGGATGCTGCTAAGGTGTGAAACCACAGATTCAAACCACAGCTGTCATTCAAAGTAGACAGAAAATGAACGTTTAATGAGCTGGAAAACCAAACAACCTCATTTATAAATGAGAAAAGCAAAACTCTTACAGACGAATGATTTGCTCAGGGTCACAACGTGGCTGATGAAGAATCAAAGGTAGAATATAAATCTAGAGTTTCTGAATGCCTTCTCACGGTAGACCAAGGCTCTACTTTTAACCCTCTTGTGTCCTTCCGGTCCTTTTGTGAGGGGAATGTTCCAGTTTGATCATCTACCTTTGAAACGAATCAAGTACCAGAGTGGTGACCCCCAAACATAACTGGGCTGGATTAGAACCAGCTGGGTATTGGATTAAAAACACAAAAAAACACACATCCCTGGAATGCTCCACTCTCCCAAGCCAACTTGCACCAGAATCTTGTGGGTAAGGCTGGGAAATCAATCTTTTAAGCAAACTTTTCAGATGCAGCTGGGTCAGCCAAAAAGACAATAATCAGATATTGGAGCTACCCGATAAAATTCTCAATTTTATCTCGGTATTTGTCCCACACAGAAACACCCGCACTTCTGAGGACTCAGGAGTTCGTTCCGAGTCCCCTATTAGAGCTTTATACACTGCATGCTACCTATGAGGTTGGCTTTGGGGAATCTCTCTCTGTAGACTCTAGTTATCTGACTCTACCTAAAACTTGGGCTTCATATTAGCACAATGGTGAAAAGCACTGCACATCAAAAACTGCAGCAGCAGCAGCAGCAGCCCTTGAAGGTCCAGGGCAGCCTACGCTATTTCCACACTGACTGGAAAGCTGAGTGCTTGGGAATGACTATTAAGTCTGACCATAGGGAGTCTAAAGCATTTATCAGAAGCAGGAGGTGACTCAGCTAAACTTACAGTCCTGATTTTGAAATCTATTATATATAAAATATTATATATAATAATTGTATATATAATGTTATATATAATAATTGTATATATAATATATATATACACAACTTTAGTAAATGAAAAATGACTGAGTGAAGGGCTTGGGCAATTACAATTACAAACCTGTTTTGAAAACAACAACAAATGAGCCATTTTCTCAGCTATCGTGATATTTTATGGGACCATGGTGGCACTGTGGATTAGGTGCTGGACTGCTAACTTCAAGTTTGGCATTTCAAACCCACCAGCTGCTCCGGGGGAGAAAGATGAGACTATTGGCTCCCTTAAATATTTACCGTCTTAGAAATTTTTTTTTATTACAGTCTTGGGAATCCAACAGAGGGTTTCTCTAAGTCAGAAACAGCTCAGTGGTAGTAGGCTTGGTTTTTTAGTCTAGTTTATGATAAATTTTTAAAGGGAACTCTATACATGACTCTTCCTTTTGAATCTGCATTTGTTGTGTATACGCTAAAAGGGGTTGTGATTTCTTCCTTGTCCCACAATGATCACAAATTTCCTATGAATAGTAGAAAAGGACACATGTTTGTTATTGATAATACCTCAATATTTCATTTTTACTATTGTGGAAAATAAGGGAGCTACTAAATCAACTTATGTGTCAGCTACAAATATTAACATTGTGAATTCATAAGTATGGCATGATGTAGTCTTATAGGCCAATTGTATCTACTCACAGTATTACTTTGCTTACCGCATATGGGTTATGAAGTATAATTGTTTTCTCAACGATGTTCCAATCAGCATTAGCGAGATCTTTATCAAATTTGAGTGTAGAAGCTATAGATTTGGTTAGCTCTTGGAAGTGTTTATATGTATAATAAAGTGATTTATATTTTAACGATGTGATATCGCGAAGACCTGGGACACAAAGAAAAGGTTTTATAAGTAGCAGGGTTAACTAACTTTTGACAAGGATTACAAAGCTTCTTTTCATTCCTAACACATTATCACTAAGATTTTTTTAAAACTTCTTTAATGCTTCCTCCCCACCCCATAATATCTTGACCCCAATTCTACTTCACAAATCTGGCTAGACCAGAGCATGTACACTGGTACAGATAAGAGCTCGCAACACAGGGAATTCAAGACAGATAAGCCTCTCAGGACCAAAAATGAGAGTAGCGATACCAGGAGGGTAGGGGGAAGGTGGGGGAGAAAGAGGTGCCTGATCACAATGATTGACATATAACCCCCTCCCAGGGGGGATGAACAACAAGAAAGTGGGTGAAGGGAGACAGCAGTCAGTGTAAGACATGAAAAAAATAATAATTTATAAATTACCAAGGGTTCATGA